TTTAACTTTTGTAAATAAATGGAGTTATAAATACCAATATTAAACACAAATGTAACTAGTCTGCCCATAAATACTGTTACATTAAAACTTTTCTTTTTTTTTTCAAATTTTGTTTATTTTGAATTTGGAACATGTATATTATTTTAAAAACTTCTTTAGATTTTGGGCCATTTCACATAGTTTTTCGTGTTCATTATCAAATTACAATGAATTATGGAATGGGGTGTTAAAGAAAATAGTATTGCAGTGATCGCCTTGCACAAAGTGGGTATGGAGCTGTCGGTCATATTCCAGACAATTCAAAAGCTTGTTATCAGCCGTATGTTCCTACATCGTACCATCATAAAATACAACAACACTTCGTCTGTCGAAGACCAGAAAAGATCGGGGCGGCCGGGTGCTGTCAGAACTACAAAGGCTGTTATGCTGTTAAAGCCAGAATTCGTCGAAACCCCATAAGAAAGCAAAAAATCTTATCGCAAGAAATGAAGATTCCCGCTAGGACTCTGTCGCGTATTATAAAACAAGACCTGAAGCTTGGTGCTTATCGTCGATATACAGGAAATGTCCTAAACAAATCTTTTCAATTAAAGAGAGTGGATCAATCAAAACTCCTTCTGTCGTGATAGGCAGGTGAAAGACACAGAAATATCCTCTTTACCGATAAAAAAATTTCCACGATTGAAGAACACCACAATAAGTAAAATGATAAAGTGTACGCTCATAGTTCTAAAGGAGCTGCTCAAGTGGTCGGAAACGTACAACGTGGTCATCATCCTGCGTCAGTGATGGTTTGGTGGGCAGTGTCTTAACAAGGAGTCACAAAACTAGTGATACAGGAGTGAAAACTTCAGCCAAAGTGTATCAAGATACAATCTTGGATCATGTTATGAAACCTCTCAGCAATACACTTTTTAAAAAAATATAGTGGGCTTTACAGCCAGCAGGCTTTTGCACCTGGTTACATGGCACGAACAACCCAAGCCTGGCTTGAAACTAAAATTCCGGGCTTTATAAGAGCTGAAGACTGGCCCTCATCTATCCCAGACTTCAACCCTTTAGACTTCAAACTATGGTCAGCTATAGTGGACATGGTCTGCTCTCTGTTCTGCTCTTAAAAATCTTTGGAGCAGCAGTGGCGAAATTTTCCTTGGAAACAGGGCGTAAATCCATAGATTCGTGGCTAAACAGATTAAAAGCCTGTATAAAGGCCAAAACTGGCCATTTCGAATAGATTTTTTTTTAATTTTTTGCTGAGACTTACAAAAACATATAAATAGGTATATAGTATAATAAGTATAAATTTTAATAATATTACATTACTTTATTATTATTATAAAAAAAATGCATTTTCATTTGTAACAGAACTTAGGGCTGGACTAGGTATATAAGGAAAAGCAAAATTTAAATTGTTGTAATACATTTTAAAGCCCGATGTTTTAATAATTAAATTCGCTTTTTCCGATAACGTACGTATTTGCAAATAAAACTCAACTAACCAAATAAATAAAAATTACGCCTTCTAATGTAATTTTGTGTTTTATATTTTTATACAGCACTTCCGAATATAACACTTTATGGGGCGGTATTCTAAGAACATCTATTAAATCATATGGAACTTGTACATCACGTTCGACCTTTGAATCGTAAAAACGGAAGAAACCGAATTTTTGAAGTTTAATGTTTTCCTAAAAAATATAGGTTAAAGTATGAAATTGCCGTTTTATTGTAATAGGTACCGTAAAATGGGGTAAATAGGGACAAAATCGAACTTCAGATTGGATTTTAACATAGTTCCAATTAAATAGTCACTGCTCAACCAAAGAAATAAGTTGAGTCTTGAACGTACCTAGGTGATAAAAACCGTTACATTATTTTAATTATTCAATTTAAAGAAATAATCGGAAAAATAATGGCCATCCCAATTTACCCCGCATTCGGGGTAAATTGACACGGGTAAGGGTTAAATTGGGATATTTGTTAGGGTTGTCAGTTCGCGGTACTGCGATATATAGGTAGGTAGATAGGTGCCATACAATTATTTATATGGACCGAAATGATGAATACAATCCATAATTTAAGCACAATACACAAAATAGTGTAAATTAAACTGGTTTCTATTCCGAAGCGATGTGACGTGAATGATAATCAACAATACAATGATCAAAAAAAGTATGTGCATGTTATATTTTAGAAAATTATTATTTAATTTCCTTAAAAATCACAACTCTGAAACAAAATCATAAAATAGAGTAAAAAATAGAAAACAAAAGGACTGGAAATGCAATAATACAATTTTATTTAATCAACATTTTCAAAATAATCTTTGAGCAAGAGTGAGATATCAGGTGAATAAGATAAAAAAGCAGATTTATCTGATTACTGCCTATAATAACAAAAATAAAAGAAATTCTTTCTAAGCTAAATAACTAAACTCAATTAATTCACTCACTCATAATTGGAACCTAGATATCTCGGATTTTTAATTAATGTTACATTTAAAATCTGAGGCCTGTTTTTATTTGTGTGTGCGTTGTGAATGTTAAAAAATCATGATTCGACGCGTGAATAGATTCTGAAATAACAAAAGTTTTGATTCGTTTGAGTTCTTTTTAATTTTTAATTTTATATTATTGCGATAAAGGACATACGACCGGGCAGATATTACAAGCTAAATGTCGCGAAAAAATGTAATTATATATATACTTTTCTTTTACCTATAGTACTTACATAAACTAACTGATAAACACATTAATCTTCTTTACATCACGCAATTGAGTGATAGTATAGGCTAAAAAATCTATTATAAGATATCAGTGACAACCCTAACAATCCATCCCTATTTTGTCTTTTGGCGTTTCAATTTTGTGTTTTCTCGTCCCTAATTTTTCCAGTCTCGTTCCAAATTACCCCACATACGTTCCAATTTTCCCCAAAAAGAAAGGAAAAATTATACATTTTTTATTTTGTCGAAATATTGTATTTAAAATAAGAATATTGCAACTTACCGTTTGTTGTGGTATTTCCAGGTGTATTAAAAACTTATATAAACTGTGATCTTATTGAAAAAACAACGATAATATTACTTTTTTTAAAAGTTCTGTAAGCTGTTTTAAAACGCACTTTTCAACCACTATTTTCAATTTAATTTGACGAATTTTTGGGACCAACTTAACTCATATTTAGTACTTCCATAGTTAACTTGGTTTTTCTTCTATACATTGATAAATATTAACATAAACAAAATTAGGTAGATTCCGTGCTACAGGTACTTTGAGAATCTTCCGCAGGTTTGTCCCAATTTACCCCAGGATCCCAATTTACCCCATGTCATGGTACTTCGAATTGACATAGAACCTTCATGGTTTGAGATTATTGGATGAAACTTTTTTAAATGGTACCTATAAGGTTCTTTTAAAAAATATGCAACATTCGATTATCGACTTTCAGTTGTTGTTTTTATTCAGCTTAGACAAGAAAGATGGATACTTTGAAAAGGCGAGTGGTTTTTGAATACGAGACGCGGAACTATCGTTGCAGAAACAACTCGCAATATCAATGTTGCGTTTGGAGAGAATCTGGTAATAAACGCACCGTGTTATTTTGGTTTAAACGCTTTCGTGATGGAAATTTTGATTTGAAGAACGAACCACGTGGAAGACCGCCCACACATGTGAGTAACAATGAATTGAAAGAGATAGTGGATGCCGATCTGAGCCAAACTACCCAGGAATTAGTGGCATGGTTTAAAGTTACCTTACCAATAATATTGACTCATTTTCGTCAAATCAATAAAATAAAAAAATAAGAAAAATTGGTGCCTCATGATTGGACTGATCTGCAGAAAGAAACGCCTGTTGAAACTAGTGTTGCCTTGTTGAATTGATACAGAAATGAAGGAATATTGGATCGAATTGTGACATGTGTTGAAAAGTGGATTCTTTACGATAACTACACTTCCCACAGATTTTTGTCACTTTACCGACTCAAAAAAGCAAAAGAGCTTATTCAGCGTGTTTTAGCGGACATAGAACAACAACTAAACTGTTGTTCAGAAACCATAATACGCAGTTTTTTCTTACCTATTCGCTGACAACCTAACTGGCTATTCCAGCTAAATAGGCAGAGTAGAGTGTACGAGCAATATTGGCGGCCAAAAACAAAGATGTCGATGATTTCAATGCGACCAGCAGAACTTTCTTCCAGAAGAGTTGTTTTCTTACAAATCAGTTGACGCGGTCCTAAATTAGGATGACGTAGTAAACTATCCCACAGAGTTTTTGAATTTCCTGAATTTACCTGCACTACTACCACCTCACAAATTACAATTAAAAGTAGGATCAGTTTTTGTTATATTGCGTAACATTAATCACCCTCGACTGTGGAATAAATGGAACGAGACTGGCTGTGAAAAAGCTAATGAGTAATGTCATCGAGGACAAGATCTTCAAGACAAAATACAAAGGAGATGTCTTGATTCCGCGTATACCATTACCGACAATTCCAACATATTTGTTATTTGATTTTAAGCGTCTGCAATTTCCCGTGCATCTGACCTTTGCGATGACCATATAGAAATCGCAAGACCAGTCGTTACTCGTTTGCGGAATCTACTTGAAATTTCCTTATTTCGCCCATGGGCAATTATTTATATGTCGCATGTTCTCGAGTTGGAGTTCATCTTTATATAATTATAAAAAAAAGATAAAAAAGAAGCTTTAAATTTGTTAAGTGTATACCTAACTGTGTTGCATTTAATAATGTAGATAAAAAAATTGTATTAATTTTATACACACCACATTTTATTCAAAACATGTGGGTGATATGAAGTTCACCGGGTTATCTAGTACATAATAAATTAAAATGTTATTTTTGTAGTATTCAACATCTTCGTCGGGATGGTTTAGGTTAAATTATGTTTTTAGACTACAGATCTAATCCAAGTTCATTGATTCATTACATTAACTTACTAGAATTAAACAGTGTATGCTTGTCTACAGGAAGGGGTATCCGGAGAATGGCGTGGCGCTTGGCTGATACTTGTACGACGTGTCTTAGTCTACACGACCAAAGACTCTAATGTATGCACCGTAGATCTTAGGAAGACAAGATGTGTCGGTAAGTGCGTATATACAATACTGAACTTACAAGATTTTGAAACAAAATACGGAACAACGAAAACACATGACATTCCTCGTGCTATTCTTTCCGAAGCAGACCAAGTAATTATGACTAGACATAAAGGATAATATACGAAATGCTTGCAAAGTTAATACGAAACTTCGAAATAGAAAATGGAAAACTAAGTCCGATCGCGTCGTTGTTCTAGTACTCCCTGTTCCTGCAATAGTGTCCCTGACCACTATACCGCGAGTCTGAGATAGGTTCCCGCTCGGAATCAGTATATTTAATTCAAATATATCATATTTGGCGTCTGAGTGTAATGTTCCTTGTCATATACGTGTGTTTGTGTTTTTAAAGCAAAAGAAAAACCCTAACATTAAGTATTATAAATTGTAATCAATTCGAATTATTATGAGTACCTATACTCGTAACTAATTAATTATCTACGACTATTTGAGGATTCCTCAATATTTATTTTAACAATTTTTATTAAGTTATTAAAATTTATAAAACCAATATTTTAAAAAAGTATATAAAATATTAAAAATATAAAAAAGTGTCTAAAAGAAGTCTTGCAGACGAGTCATTATACCTGATACTTCCAGAATCAACATTGACAATATTAACCAATTTCCATATTTTGGGGGCGGGTGGAAGAAAAGGGGACAAGTGAGTGTAGTCCCACGGGCAGGTTTGATTAAATGAAAACGACATTGGACTCCAACGTCCTCAGTGTCGCTATGTACTGCGCGAAGACAGGAATGAATGGAGGAACATAGTCCGAATAAAAGTGCTCTCTGACAATCTCTCGCAGCTGCCGAGCCTTGAGACGCTCAGTCACCAGGAGTGCCCATGGCCGTATTTTCTTATGGACTTTTTTGTATGGGCGATCCCAGCGGTCCTGTTCGAGAATCTTCAGGAGCGTTTTCATGCTCTGAGACTTGGCCTCCCTGATGGTCAGCCTCAGGGCGTCCTGCTTCTGACGGCAGTTTGTGTATAAATACAGCCAGGTCGCCGTCTCGGCGAAGGCCACATAGCGAAGGTGGCGGGGTGGTGCCGGGCGCTTCGGCGTGCTCTTTCCTCTCGAAGGAGCGTAATCTCATGTATCCACCAGTGCGCCCTGCCATGCGAAGCTTGACTGTCTACCCGGGCCATCGTGATTTCGAAGACGCGAAGCATAGTGCCCCGGGACCAGTTGGCCTACGATTCTACGTTCACGAGACGCGCGAGTATCGGCGCCCACGCGGCCATCGTCGACGTCCCCACTTCGAGCACCTTGTACAGGTGCCTCAGTGCTCATCGCAGAAATGATCGGGGAGTACTATCCATCAGAGGGTTGACCGGTATTCCGACAAAGTACGCACTAACGACTGCACTCCCTGCAGCCACTTATCCCTTCACGATGTGCCGCTGCTTGGGATCGATCATTTATGATATAGGTTTACTTTTCGCGGTCTCGGCTGGTCAAGGTAAGACCTCCGGTGCTCAAAATATGGCTGAAAGAATGACAGGCTTGGCCGACAGTCGACCGAGTGCAAAACCACTACGCCTAATCGGTAGCCCCTAAATCCCTAATGCCGTCCCCTGTAGCTGAACCTGGGACATGGCATCCAACGGCCGGCAAAAGCAAAAGATGCAGTGTTAGTTCACTTCCACGACAACAAGGCGATATTGTATTTATTTATTAAACGTAGAGTTGGGAGCCGGTGAACAACATTCGAATCGCCTCCACATTCACATTTTTCATATTTTTCTAGCTCGAGATATTGTCGCGTGAATGTGGCGTGCCTTTCAGGCGTTATAAGGGCGCGAGGTGCCTCCTACAACACAATAGAGCTAGATAACTTAAATATTGATTTGTTTTATCTGCGATGTTAAATTGTTCTATGAAACGTTTTGTAAAAATATAGTTAATTTTTTGTTATTGTGGCATAAATCGCGATTCAGATTTGAAAACGTTAATCGAAGGTACCGATACTGCTCAAAGCAAAATTTAAGCTTATCTAACCCACCTAAACAAAAAGGTTGCTTTTTTATTGTTTAGGCGTTTAGGTTCTGGTTATTTAAATTAAAAATTTAATTGAGGTAAACATCCAAAAAAGATTCTCTACAATCTGCCAAGAGATTCTTCGGACACATCATGCGGTCTCCCAGACATGAATTTGAGAAGTTCATCATTTTGGCTCCCGTAGAAGGCAAGCGCGCTGTGGGCAGAACACCAGGCAGATGGCCAGATCTGGTTAAGAAAGCGGTTGGTAGTAGTCTATACTGTGAGGTCCATGCCACCCATGACCGAACACTGGAGAAAAGTCACATGTGATCGCGATCCTTAGCAGTGAGGGAACTAGGAAGAAAAGAGAAAGGAAAATTAGAGATTTGACGAAAATTGACTCAGAAAAAGTTATTTGTGAGTGTTTGGTGGACTAGCGCCGGTGTCGTTCACTACAGCTTTCTAAAATCTAGCCAAACAATTACGGCAGATATATATTGTCAGTAACTGTAAACCATAAAGGAAGAACTAGCTGCTAAACAACCGAAATTAGTCAATCCCTCTAGGCCACTGTTTTGGGATCCCTCTTCGGCTTCTCAGCGAAGAAGGCGGAGTGGGCGGCACGGGTGCGAAACTCTTGTTCATCTCCCGTAGGGGCTGTCGGGTGCCGGGTGCGGGGGTGCCCGGTACTCGGCTGTCGGTCCGGTGGTGAGGCGGCGCAAGGTGGCTCCTGTGCACCGCTCACGGTGTGTCTCCGAGACGACGTCCTGCGGGATTTTCCCGGGGATGGAGTGCCGTCCTATTATCAGGATGGGTACCGGCGACGGCGAGCCTTCGGCGCGCACTGTGCGGTACCGTGGGTTTCGTGGAGTCGGAGTGGTGGGGCTCGATGGGGTTTAGTCGGTAGTCGGTTTTGCGGTGTAGCTCTTGCGTGGCTGACGCCGTGCAGTGCCTCGCGCGCCTTTCTCAAGGCGTAGTCTCCCGGCAGGAATTGAGAGAAGAGAAGGACCCCTGTCTTCTTCTTCTCCCTGTACTTCTCTGGAGGCGCCGGAGTCCGACATAACCCGGTCTCTTACCCCCCTCGACCGGGTATCCGTAAATGGATTCCCCAGCGTTAACAAACAGAAAAAAATGCCACTGCTGTTTCACGACAAGGTAAGACCACACACTGCACAACAAACAACCACTAAGTTAGATGAGCTATAATTGGAATCATCATGGATATCCACCGTACTCCCCCGACCTTGCTCCAATATAATTTTTTCAGGAATTTCAGGACAACTTCTTACAAGGAAAAAAATCAACTCTGATGCGGCAGTCCAAACCGCCTTCAAAGAGTTTATTGATTCTCGCCCCCATAGTTTCTTTTAGTAAAGGAGTCAATGAACTATGAAGAAACCTATAAGATGGCAAAAGTGCATAGATAATAACGGTGCATACTTTGATAATTGAATATATTTCCCAAAAAAATAATTGACTTTATATTCCTCCCGTAAAAACGCTAATTTCATATGTAAGGACCTAATAATATGTAAAGCTATTTATTTGAAATTGATTTTGGGATGAAATTTAATTAAATGTAATAATGCAACGCAATGATACGAGACGAGGTAAAATTAAATTGACTTATTGGAATAATCTGAGAAACCTTCAATTTGCGAATAAATTTTAGGAGAGCCCGCGCATAAGTGCCTACTATACTTCATTTTATTCATGCCATCAACGAAGGTGAATAGGTATCGTAATAAACCGTCGACGTCGCCCAAAGCACGTCATCACGGATCCTCCTGATCCATTAACGGTGTTTTTAGGCAATACAAGCACTGGTCACCGTCCTCGTCGAACCCGTTGCTTGCGACGAAGGGCCCGACGAGCGAATTAACCCACATACCGGGGGTATGTGGGTGGGGTGAGCCCCGTGAGCTCACCTACACAAGCTAGGGTAAGCTGAAATAGCCTCTCAAGCCGGTCTACTAGGGTACTGAAGGCCAAATCCTAGATTCGGCCGTAAGTAAATGCCGTCAGAGCCAGAAATCGCGTACTTTGTTCGCATCCTGGACGTAGCAAATTCTTCTAAAATACCTTCAGTCTACAGTTTTGTTATTCTTCAATATAATCTCAGTATTGTTTGATAAAAGTAAATACATATAAAAATTCTTCTACATAGTAAAATTTGTACTTAGTATCCAGATAGTGCATACATAGTGTGATTTTATAATTTAAAGAGAGAGAGAGAGAGATTAAATTGTTTTTTGTTCCAAAAATGTCCCGATTTTTTCTTTTTGAGCTAGTATTATTATACGAATTAGTAAACGACTGTACTTCGAAACATTAACAATAACAGGTACCCAATTTTCGTACCAAAAAATCAGTTGTCTCTAAATTCGGTTTACTGACGATAGTTGAACGTGACAACGTCATAAGAAAATACTGATGGAATGGTTTCATTTTTCAATTATCACAATTATCGTTGCTATAAACAATTGACACCACATTCACCTTTCACTGAACTTCATACTTGACGAAAACATGTAAATGTATTTGTATAAATAAAATACAGGCTCGTATATTGAATATTTGCGTTTATTCTTATTTTATTAATTTAAATTACAACTTGCCATGCACGGGTGTAAAAGGCTGGAACGGAAGAGAGTGTTGCCAAGCGCCAATCTTAAAATTAGCAACTTAGAACTTAGGTGTTACCATTACAATATTACAATATAATTCTAAAGTTCATATTTTGATTGAACAGTATTATTGTATAGCAGCCGTCCACGCGGAGGCCGATTGTGCCTCTTTGTCGCTCGTTGCGCGCTCTCGCCTGCACTTCAAGCCTTAAATGGAACGCCTCATGAGTCATGTTTTTTCGTGCGTGCAGCCGGCTCCATCGAAGTATAAGACGTTGTCACGTCAAAAACGAACAAATTGTAAAGCAGTACAACATCATTAAATAAATAAAAATTCAGCACAGTACACTAAACCGTTTATATTATCGATTTCTGAA